AGACTGCAAAAGATTGGTATGCTTTTGTGAATCCCTCTTCAGGGTAGGAGGAATACACTCTTGTATCTTTAACAACTTGGACTCTCCTTCAATAGATTGTGAGGTCCTAGATCATAGTTAATAGATGGGAATGGTTGTGAAGCCAGGCAAACATCAAAGGGGCAAACAAAGATGCCAAGATTTGTGTTGGAAGGTCCACAACCATGCAAAATCTTTTTTTGCGCCCATACACTATGCATGAATTACATAACCAAAACGTTTCTATTGGTCAGTTATTCGGTCAGTAGTATACAACAATTGTGTTTTGTGCATGGTCAAGGCCAAAAAAGAGAACAAAAACATACAACAAAGAACTTTGTTGAGTTTCATAATAATCCCCTTCTATTAACTACGCCTAGACTGAGGCTGTTGGAGCTGACACGTCAAACTCTTAGCTGTAAAAGTAGCAGACTCTCTTGCAGTACATTTAAGGGCTGCTCTATGCATAAGTCTGTAGGCCCTTGAGATCTTCCAAATCCATTCCTCTGTGCAGTTGTGAAACGTTTACCAGGGCCCATATCATAAGCCTTCTACACTTTCAAACCTCTGGACTTGAAGCTAAAAAAATTTAGAGACAGGATCCCAGACATTGTGTGCTTCATAGTCTGGCCTGACTCTTGAGTCTTGACAATATTATTGATGCCTAACACCCTTCAACCCGCCATTGGATATCACTACCTTTAATGTTGTGGCCTTCATTTATGTTACAATGCACATGGCTCTGCACTGTGGCAATTCTTCTGTCACAGAGGTCCTTTCCAGCCTGTGGATCACTGAAATCATATCTGATGATCTTAATGCCTGTGCACTCTCTAAGGCTAGCAAGTGAGTGGATGAGATGAGAACAAAGGTAACATCTGGTATTGTCGAGCTTTTCTTTCCAAAAGGTTACAATTGAGCAAAACATCGAAGCCATTCTTATCATTGGAGTGTGCACATCTATAATTAGAGATTGAAATCCTTTGCACAGTGGTAATAAATAATGAAAAACAACAATAAATATAAATAAATATGATAAATGATAATTGTCACAACAACAAACTATTAATTATCACTTGGTGATATTATTTGCTGCTGATTAAGGTCTTTGGTTCTTGTTCCCATGCTTTCAAAATTAAATGCACAATGTTTATCCTTATACCAATTAAGATTTACTGTACTTGCCTGCCTGATGCAGCAAAGTAAAAAAAAAANCGTCGGTTCACTTCGCTGAGATAACTGGAGAACGAGCTTTACTACACAGCATGTAAGTGTTGTTTGAGCAATTGAGCATTTTTACAAAAATAAAGCTTCTCATCATAAACAGAGACAGTTTGATTGTTGTTTTCTGTCATTGTTTTACTTCTTAAGTATAATTTCTGCCTTCGTAACAAATATGTCTTTTATCGAAGCACTGCTTAGGTTGAGAATTTGTTTATTCCGCTTTGTGTTTTGTCGGTGGGAATCTAGCAAAACTTGTTATTTTAATACAGTTTTAACAGTACTGTTGCTAACAATGGTCTCTGTGAGCCATATTTACTACAGACAAATAGCTCGTTTCCATTGCGTTTGTCTGAATCACAGGGGATGTTTAAGTTGGGGCAAATTTGTCAAAATTCCGAAGCAAAAATTTGAAAGGCAACTTACCGTCATCAACTCGTGCTCTGTTCTCTGATAAAGCACGCTCTTTCAGCCAATCAGAGCGCACATTATATGGAAACTTTATTATAAATAATAAATAACAACAATAAATATAAATAAATATGATAAATAATAATAACAACAACAAACTATCAATTATCACTTGGTGATATTATTTGCTGCCGATCAAGGTCTTTGGTTCTTGTTCCCATGCTTTAAAAATTATATGCACAATGTTTATTTTTATTCCAATTAAGATTTACCTGCCTGCCTGGTGCAGCAAAGTAAAAAAAAAAATCATAGATGTTTTTTAACTCGATTTGCGTGAAATGAATATTCATTGGGTGAGCTCAAGAGTTAATATATGAGGGCAAACAATAATGTCAGCAAAGAATACTTCTCAGGATTGATGAGTATGCCGAGTGTAAAGTAAGAGTTGACAAAAATCAATTGCAACATCAAGCATGTGACCCGCCCGTGATGATCGAGCAGGGTTTCAAAGGTAATCTAAAAAGTGAGATNTCCATTGCGTTTGTCTGAATCACAGGGGATGTTTAATTTGGGGCAAATTTGTCAAAATTCCGAAGCAAAAATTTGAAAGCCAACTTACCGTCATCAACCGGTGCTCTGTTCTCTTATAAAGCACGCTCTTTCAGCCAACCAGAGCGCGCGTTATATGGAAACTTTATTATAAATCTGCATATATTACAAAAGGCAAAGCTTTTTGTTTATGAAAATTTAATTTTTTATTTCTTTATCAAGTATCTTGACAGCTTGTTCATCGTTTAATGTTATACAGTTATTTTTGTGATTATTCAACACATCTTCAGAACTGAGACACTGTAAACAATACATACAAAAATGCTTCCTATGTTGATACTTTGTCTGATTAAACTTGAATTTGTTGAAGTTCTTAATTAGAACATAATGCTTATTTCACCTTCAGTTATCA